CTGGGGCTTATGGTTAGTGGAATTTAGGCATTTTGAGTCTTCCCTCGGCGTTGACATGCCAGCGATGCCGAAGTCCACAGCGAACAGCATGAACGGCAAGCTGCCTCTTACGGCCAAGTGTAGACACAGCTGTCTAGCTGGACCAGAGGCAAATGCAAGGAAGTGTGAGTGTAATCGTAGTGTCCTCTCTTGGCGCCAGCGCCAAGAATGAGTGTCATACTCGTAATCAGGATGTTGAATTACCCCTATATACAAGTTTTTAGTGGATTTGGTGACTTAGGCAATTTGAAAATGAGCTCGGAGCCGAAATTTCTGGAGTCCAAACGGCATTAGCCGCAACATAACATCCAGCAACCACCACCTACTCCCACTCCTGCGCATTCCCAAGTGATTAAGGAGACCGACTTCTATGCTACCAAACCGTTCACTTCGCGAGCGGCAGGAAGCAGAATCCTTGGTGGTATCTCTGAGCAAAGTCATGCATCTGTAATACTACAGTTCTTTACAACAGTCAGGGAGAGAAGTTACTAACCTGAACTGCTTGCTTACGAGCTGCCCAACGTAATTATTATTAGTTTGTTGTTGGCTGCTTTATTAAAATCTGTGAAGCATGTCCTTTGATATATACAACTGGTGGCATCAGATCTACAAAGGAACGTCGTGCCGGAGAGGCATCTCCGACACAGGTAACAGCACTTAGGAATGAACAGTTGCAAGGACTTCTTCATCGCTACCGCCGCGTAATTTGCCCTCATGAGCTCTTCGCTGCGGTTGATTTCGAGGGATAACCGCCTGACAGCGAACGCTTCGAGCAAGTTCATTTCCAATAGGGCCTTGTGAGTAGCAGAGTAATTTCTGAGATACCTCCTGCTGGTGAGGAAGCCTACGATACCGCGAGAACCCACCATTGAAGCCACGGAGGACGACCTCGCAAAGCTACTGCGCATGAGTTGCTCTATCCTGTTTTTTGATCACCAGTTCCCATCACTTCGAAATCTCCCCCTGAAAAAGCTCATTCCCCTCGCTAGCGACAATGGATGAGATTTTTAAGAGAAAACTCGAAGCTATGGAATCGGATAGGCGTGCAGGCAGCCTGAAAAAGCGGTATCATTTATTCTTTGAGAGCCGATGGATCGTTGTGACGTCAGCGTCATCGATGGTCAACTGGTCTCGAAAAGGTCCTTGAATAGTCAGGGGAGCCCCGTTGCTATTAATCAAACGACAGTACATAGTTTAGCAGGAAACGGTATGACTAACGAGATTCCTTTCCAGTAGACGCTGATATAAGGGAATTCGCACCGGCTACCTTGATCTGAAGATCTGAAGATTTCCCATGGGATTCTCCGTGGAAAAGCAGCGCTACCTCTATTCTTTGATTATGAGCTAAGAAGTGATTCTGGTGTGAGAAGAGGACTCCACTGCTGAGGCTGATAATTGTAAATAACAACTGAATTTACTTCAAAGTGTAAAGGTCACTAAAATGCTGAAAAGCCGTCTGCAGCGCCAGAGTTTTACTTTCGAACAACCTGCTTGTGATAGTAAAACGCTTCCAAAACTCATCACAATTCTTCACATCACCTTTAGTCGGGTTCGAATCTCCGCTGTAGTTGAGACTTTTGTTTTGTCTCACTCGGCTTTTTTGTAAGTGACTTTGGGAGCGCGAACTGGGGCATTGACAGAAGTCATCACATAGAAGTATAAAAAAAGGTTTCAGAAGAGATATGCCGTCTAATGATCTCCACCTTCTGACGAAGAGGTTGTTAGATAGAGCCCTTTGTCGTTTCGTCGTCATCGTCTTCTCCAGAGACCTGAAAGCTTTACTGGTACAGGCTTGAAACTTTTAATTTGTTACCTACACGCCAACGCCCTCTCCACTCTAGAGTTTCCGACCTCGTGTCCCGAACGCTGCTGAAAACCAATTAATAACTGCAATCGACTCAGTGAAGGTCCCACCGTGCGGGGCCTATCTCGCGTGGACAACGTGTGATGTTAGAAGTGTTTGTTGTGCCAATTTAGATTTAAAATGCTCTTTAAAGCATCGAAACCGACACGGACATTGATCGTGCCCTTACAAATGATCGCCTGGTCCATCCAATCTTGTGTCTCGAGTCAAACTTCTTAAGAACTTATGGACGGTTATATTGCCTGACAAGACTGCATTTTGGGCTTGTCAGAAAAATTAACAGATGTTACGATATTACCGCAAGCGCTGTGCGAACTTACCACCCACCCAATTTCCTTGAGAAAAAGCTTTCTTCTCGGCTTTCTATCGATTTGTACTAACCTCAAGTTATTTGAAACCTGTTACTCTCCAGCTTCTCTCTTGCTGTAACCTCGGCATTGTTGTATGATTCGTTAATACTGCTGTGCCTCTCGAGGTTTTCAGGTGGAATATTTATTTAGCGGCCTAACGTTTCGACGTGGTCGTCTTCTTCCGAGGCCTGAACGCGTTCCGAAATGACCCCGTCAAGTGCCCAACCAACCCTAGCAGTTCCGATGATGTGTTCGGAACTCAACAAGAAAATTCTACAGAAT